TTTAAATTTTGTATCTTTCTCATTTCTCAACCATTTCAGAAATTGTAAATATCAAACTTGTTAGAAATTTCACCATGATTTCAAATATGTAAGTAACTTAAACTATGGATAAAATATGAACACGAGTTTTTCTTGGTACCAAATCTGATCTAGTTTTTTCAGAAAGTTCAAACTTAAAATTCTCCATGCTCAGGCAATATAAATGAATTCTAAGGACATAGTTAGTTTCAGGGCTATAATGTCTACATTTTATCTTTTAAAATCAAAGCCAAATGATGCTTGTATGAAGAGATGGAAGTTCAGAAAACTCACCTTGCAAATGGAGATCATATTTGGAGTTTGAGCACTCTTCAAGGTGTTGTAATAATCTGGTTAGCTTCACTGAACCTCCAGGAAGCTATTGCAATGCTTACTTTGGATTGAGAGTGGTTGTATTGTTCTAGAGAAGTCAAGATGCAAGTTACTATTTTTGGAAATGGAGGATGGTGATAGAGGTGTTACAGTCGGGTAACAGGCGTTTGGTTAGGTTATAAATGATATATGGATGCTTTGTAATTGATTTTAAGGAAGAATGCACGAGTAAAATGTGAGTTTGAGGTGCAAGGTTAGAATCTGCACAAAAATGGTGTTTTGAGGAAATTTCTGGTTTAAGGGAGTTTGGGAGAGTTTCTAAGCTTCTGGATTCGTGTCTTATCTTGAAAAATAGTGCTTCTACTTATAGGAAAAGGTTTGGAAGCTTGGAGTTTTCAGAATCACAAGATCACAAGTAATGAATTTTTTACTTGTTTTTGAAGCAAGCTTGACAAACATCTTTCCAAGGCATGGTACAAGGCTATCAGAGTGGTTAGAAGCTTTAAACATGTTTATATGACTTTGTATGTTGAGTGTGTGCAGAGGGAGAAAGTTAGAGGCTCAATACAAGTTGACTTTGTGATTAAAGCAACTTTACAAGAATAACAATGTTACTTTGTGCCAAAAATGGATGAATCTCTTAGAAAATGGCTCTAATGCTTGGATCATAGCTCTAACAATTGTGTAAAACATTAATTATGGAGTTAATTGTAAGTTATAAGCCTTCAAAGTAATATTATGCAGCATAGCTATGAGATTTGGCCAAGGGTTCACCATCAAAATGACTTGTAATTCAAGAATGGATACCCAACTTCTTGCCTTTGATTCTCTTAGCTCAAAAATGATCTCTTCAAGTTCTTTGACATTTTGGAAATCTTGAAACGTTGTTTACAACTTTCATGTTTTACACTTTGGCTAAATCAAATTGGAATTATGTGAAAATTGGCCAAGAAGTTGGGACAAAAATCTGCCTAAACTAGGTGAAAATTTCACTAAGTTTTTTAGAAAAAAGTCATGACTTCATGAGCTTATAATTCAAAATCCAAGCATTTTTAGGACTTGATCAGCAAAGCAAAGTTGTAGATTTCATCAAGATCTACAAATTCATGTTGAAAAGTTTCTTTGAATCATCTTGCATCTTGGTGAAAAATTGCCATGAAGTAGTGAACTTATCAAGGTTTAAAACACTTATAAATTTTTCTAAGTCTTGAAAAGTTTGACTTTTTTATGGAATTTTTTATTTTCTTGATTCTTGATGATCAAACTTCATATTTTTTAATGTCTTGATGAATCCTGGTCTTTGAAACTCAATGTTGACCAAAAAAATCAAAGTTTGACTTTTGGTGTAACAGTTGACTTTTTCATCAGTTGATCAAATTTAAACTATCAATTATTTGATCTTGAGAAATGATTTGAGCCATGAAATTAGGTCAAGATATTGTGTTTTAATTATTAAGATCATGATTCAAACCATTAAGTCATGTATTAGGTCAAAAGTCAATGATTGGTCAATCCTAGTCAAAACCCTAATTTTGACCATTTTGCCCTTTTGATGATTTGAATGCTTTTCTTGAGGAATTGTGATCAAACCTTGATAAATTGATGAATATGACTCCAAAATATTGATATGGGCCAAAAATCTTGAAGTTTGACTGTAGGTTCACCATAGTTGACTTTTTACCCAATATAGTTAATTTTCAGTCATCTGATCAATTGATTGAGCAAAATTGTGATCTAAGACTTGAAACTTGGCATGAGTATTCTTGGAGACCTATAATGAACCATGAAAGTATTTTGAGGCATTAGAAATCCAATTTCCCTTGTGCAAACCAAAACCCTAATTTGTGGCCTAAGTGCTTAGGAGATGAGTTTGTCTGGTCAATTCTTGAGAATCCTTGAGCATCGGAGATCCTTTATGAGAAATGTCTTGAGAAAAGAGAGGGAAAATTTTGGGGTACAACAATTGTCTTCACACTTTGCACTCACATATTAAAGGATTGATTTAAATTGAACCTTGTCATTTTGACAACAATTTTAGGAGTTGTATTGACTTAACAAGATTTACTTAAAGAGTTTAATTTGTTCTAGATCGTCATTTGTGCTTCCAATTGAACTTGATTACTTATTTTTTTAACCATTTTTTATATCTTTATTAGCCTATGAAAGTAGGAGAAACTAAGTCTGTGTCACTTGAAAAACTATCTCCTTTTGGATCCATGAGGATAACCAATGAAAATATTCATACAGGTTATTGAGTTTAGCCCTATACCAAAGCTCAGAAGTTTTGAGATCAGTCTGATGTAAAATCTCGATTAGGTTCGTGGTCAGCCTGATATAAAACCTTAGTTCAGTTTGAAGGATAGCCAATTCAAAACTCTAATTTGGTTCGAGATAATTACGTATAAAATATATGTTTGGCTTATAGACTAACCCCTCAAAGTTTTGTTTGTTGTTTGGCTTGAAGACTAACCGTTTCATCCATTATTTGTTGTTTGTTTAGAAATTAAATTGAAACTCCACTTTCCTCGTGTAAGGAGGTTAGTGGGCTTAACCTTCTAAAATCTCTCTAAAATTATTGGATATTCTTAAGATAAGTTATTTGGGAGAAGAGTATATCACTTCTTTTAGAATGAACCTCTATAAATCACGGGTGTTATCTCTCTTCCCTTAGCTTTTTAACTTCCCCTTATTTTCTTTTAATTGCATATTTAAACATTTTTATCAAACTGTTTTCAAACTCTGGTTTAGAAAATAATTTTGCTTTATATCATATTTTTTCAAACTTCCACAATTTAACTTCATTTTGTGTATGGTGTCACATGTTCAACAAGTGGCATCATAGCCTAGATATTGTTCAAAGACTAATCGTCTTAGAAGGAGGATGACTTCCGACACTGTGTTTAACAAGAGAACTTTCCTAAACACACCTCTACCATTTAATGGTGGTATGTTTGAACTATGGAAAGATAGATTTAAAATTTTCATTCAAAATCTTAATTTTGAATTGTGGGAAACTATAATCAACGATTAGTTTATTGCTACTTACCATGTAAATGGAAAAGTAGTAGATAAACCAGATTTCCTTTGGACTTAGAGGAAAAGAGAAAGTTTGAAATTGATTTCAAAACAAAAAATTTCCTAGTCATGTCTTTATATGATAATTAACTTTTCTATGTTCATAATTGCAAATTTTCCAAGGAAATGTGGGACACTCTTGAAATGATATATGGAGTTTTTCCAAGTATCTAACAAGAGTGAATGAACACACAAGGCGAAGAAGATAAATGGTTCTTCCATAAATGTTTTTCTAAATTTAGAAAAGTTGGAAATAATGTTGGAAGTTTTATTACTAATAAATATCTAAGAATTGATAATTGGAATCAGAAACCTGGTCTAATCCTTAAATCTAGAGATGGATATATTTTTGAATTTCAAGAAAAATCCAAGAAGGAAGAAATCGTCGAGAAGTTGAATGAATTAATTAAACTACTAAAGGATGAAGGCATGATTTCAAGTTTAGAAGAGTTCCTATAAACTTCAACAACAAATTCATGTGAAAATAAATCATCTTCAGTAATCTTCTTCGAAAGAATAGTCTTAATGATTAAACGATCCTCAGAGAATTCAACACCAAATGAAGGAACTTCATATAGAATAAGATATGAAGAAGAAATGTCATCTAGTGGAATGTTTGAGAGAAGAAATGAGAAAAAAGCCTCTACGAATAACATATATTCAACATAAATGAGGAATTTGAAAGACTCAACCTCGAGTAGAACCTTCAAAGAATTTTCATCCAACGAAGAAGAAGAAGTTTGTTTGAAAGTATCTCAGGAAGAAGATTACCATGAGGTAACAAAGTTATCATACAAGAAGCTGTTTAAATTGAGTGCTAAGTTAATCGACGAAAATGATAATATTAAAAAACAAAACTTAAACCTTAGGGATTATCTTGAGTTTCTAGAGAAGTGTAATGAAACACTTAAGCACGAAATATCTAATATTAGAAATCTAGCTGGAACATCTGAGACTTGTGTCACGATGAAGATGGAAGTAAAATATTTTCACAAAACCCTAAGTAAATTTACTAAGGGAAAATAAAACTTTAACTTAATTCTATCAAGTCAACTACCTTCCTTAAATAAAATTGGATTAGGGTTTAAGTAAATCAATAAACAAAGTGATACTCAAGGGCATCAAGAAGAAACTATTCGACGCTAAGGGGTCATGGGCCAAGAAGCTACACGAAGTACTATGGTCATATTACACCAACCCCCACTCTACCACCAGAGAAATTGACTCCATTCACACTAGTGTATGGGTTGACGCCATGCTGCTAGTCAAAATCAACACGCCATGACAACGACATCCCCAGTTCAATGAGGAAGAAAGTGAAGCGGGTTTAAGATGCGCCATATATCTAATTGACAAGACAATAGACATCACCCACATTCAAGAGTTTTCCTATAAACAAAGAGAAGTTAGAAGATAAAACTCTAAGGTGGTTTAAAGAGAGATGCAAGAAGGTGATCTACTTTTACAGTAAGTCGTTGTATCTTCCCAATAAGAAAAGCTACAACCTAACTGAGAAGGACCTTATAATGTATATAAGAAGTTTCCTAATGGAGCCAACAATCTCAAAGAATTGAATGGTCAACTTATTCCCAATACTTGGAACTCAATCAATCTACGATATTACAGATGATCGGTATGAGGGTGAGTCACATATTTTATGGAAACTCTTGTAAAATATTATGATATTCACAACAAAGTTATTATGTTTTGACTATCAAATTAAACTAGTGGACTTCCACAGGAAGATGCTTGCCTCCCTATGGGTTAACTACACTACTGTACTTCCATAGGAAGATCCTTATTGCCCTACGGGGTAATTATAATGATGTACTTTCACCAAAATATCCTTGCCACCATAAAAGGTGATTAAATATATAGTTTCTCACTTCAGTTGATTCATTTCTCAATACCACATCAACTTTGAAGCCTCTGACAACCCTTAATCACTAGAATTGTTACACATTTATACTCTTAGCGAGTGCAAAACCATTTATAGGCAAGCGAGATACACTTATCTTCCAAGGCCTCTTCGTCAATCAGTGATCTTGTAAAGATAAAATTACTCTTAGATTTCCTTAAAGTCCACACCATTGAATGCCAACTCAAGATAAAACCACCTCTGATCCTAGTCAAATCCCATAAGGATGGAAAAATCTCAAACAAAGAAGAATATCATCTAGTAAGACAACTACCTTTCCTAATCACCAATAAATCTTATACCACAAGTTTGCAGAGATATAACAACTGACAAATAAGTGGGAGACCAACTCTAAAGATCTTGTACTAGCAGGATCTAGAATAACCCGCCTAATACACAGATTCTCTTTAGTCAGAATATTATCTTGAATAAGTTGTCAAGAAAAGACCATCGCTTTCGAAAGAGCTTGACTACACCAAATGGAAGCCAACAAACAACCTAAGCTAGAGGGAAAGGTAGAAAAAGACTAAAAAATATTACAGTAAATAAAAGCGATAATGTAGTTACTATTTTCCCCCGACAACCAACACCAACGATTATTCTTCAACGAGAAACTAATACTCTGAACGGTCAGTTAATAAAATTATGTATATAAAAGTAATATGATTTTATCTTACAATGTACCTTGGAGTTCTCTTTATTGTGCTATTATAAAAAAGAGTTAAATATATTTTTAGTCCCTTTAAATTATAAAATTTTATTTTTGATCGCTATAAAAAAACATGACATGTTTTAGTCCCTACACAATTATCATGCACGTAGTTTTAGTTCCTATTGTTAAACTGATGTGTATTTTTTAATGATTATTTTGAAGACATGTTTATAACATTATAAAAAGTTCCTAAAAAAAAAAAACTCAAAATTTGATTTTTAAGTCGAGATTTTCATTATTTTTATCAATATCTTTTGAAATTAAAAAAATTTATATTTAATTCTTCTCATTTTAAAAATTCTAAAATTTGATAAAAAAAACATTTTATAGTATTGTAAACACATATGGAAAAAATTATTAAAAAATTTAAAAGTTTAAGAATAATTAAACAGTTTTCAAAATTTTCGAAAATAACAAAGATAAAAACTGCATGAATAAAATTTTTGTAGGAACCAAAATATGTCATTTTTTAATAGGAGTTAAAAATAAAATTTTAAATATTTATAGGAACTAAAAACATATTTAACTTTTATAAAAAACATATATAATTATGTATATAAAAGTAATATGATTTGATTTTTAAATTACTTTGAGCATTTCTTTATTGTGCTATTATAAAAATATATAATCATATAATATATTATAGTTAAATAAATTATGATTAAAAAGTATTTAATTAAAATAAAATTTTATATACAAATTAAATAGATTTACTTAAGTAGGTTTTAACATATATAAGACTTTTTGAGGATTTAGCATATCACCTCTATACTTATATATGACACCCCATATCATGTATGTTTTTGCTATTATATTTTTGTGAATAATCACCAAATTTTAAAAAATATGAGTTTTATTGAAAATTTTAAGAAAGTTTCATAAAAAATATTGGATTTTTCGTAAAATTTAATACTTCATTTTTCAAGAAAAAAATTAATTTTTTACACTATCGAAAATTTTCAGTACAATACCGAAAATTTTACCATATTTCAAAAATTTCAAATTTTTATTTATTTATTTATTTTAAAAAAACCTAAAAATTTCGCAAAAAAACTAAAATTTTTGAAAAATTATCAAAAATTTATTCCTTATACACCCTCTCAATTTATTCAGAGACATTTTTAAAATAAGGAAAAATTGAAAAGTACCGCATATAACTTCGGAAGTGTCATGTTAAATTCTCGTACTTTTAAAAAAATAAAATTTATTGTAGGCCCTACATATATCATGGTTAATCAAATCATATCAGCAAAACCATTTTCAAATTCACCATTCATGAACCGAACCAGATTGCTTTCTATAAACCGGTTTATAATTTCGTGAAATATGTTTGTAACCGCTTTAGTATCGGTTCATCTCTTATAACAGCATTACTGTTTCCTCCAAAGTCAAACGCGAACATTTGAATCTGCATCTCCGTCTTCACCGCCGTCGACTCCATTTCCGGTGATTTTTCAGTTATCGATTTCCATAACTTTTTGTTTTCATTTTTAACTTTCACATATTGCAACATTGTACTTATGTTGAATTTTTTCTGCTAAACCCACATTTCAGGGTTTGGGATTAGAATTGCAGCTTAATTACTTTTAATTGTTGTTAATTTCAACTGTTATGTTCAGATTAAGGTTTTGTCTCATAGTTTTAGATTTATAATTTTTTGGGTTTAAGGCTATTAATATGAATGTGAACTTAAACAAGATGTTTACTGTGTTCATCATATGTTTTTAGCTTCTATAGGCGGTGTGGTGCTATCTCATCATATTAGAATGGCTTCATTTGTTTCCACCCATTGTTTCCTTCCTGCACTTAAGCCTCACCTTGGATTTGTGAATCTTGATGGCCAAGATTGTTGTTCGGGTAGTATAAATGTCTCGCGTCTTCGTGAAGCTCCGAAAAGTCCCTTTTTGCTTTCTTCGCGAGGTTATACTCCTCGTCCTTGTGGTAGTTTTGTTTTCTTGCATTGAAGTTATTTTAGTTGCTGAACAATTCATTGCTTTCCTTTTATAGCTTTAGATGTTAAGCCACGTGTTCAGAGCAAGGGTCGATCATCTTTTGTGCAGACAGCTGCTGTGAGGCATCTGACGGGATCTGTTACCAGAACTCAAGGACTCCGTTTTGCTGTGGTGAGTGTTCCATGAAATTAATGCTAAACTGTTTCTTGCAATGCCTTTTGACAAAATCTTGCCTTTGTTAGTCATTTCATCGCTTTTTAAATTTGGACCAGAATACACGTAGGATGTGTTTATTTAAAAAGCTTAGTTAATTAAGCACTTGTCTAATAAGCTATTAAGGCGAATAATTGAAATCATTTAAAAAATGTAAGTGCTGTCTCATAAGTTGTTTGTATGAGTGTATCGGAATACTAGTTTCAAGTACTTATTGCAGGAGATAAGTTAAAATAAGCTTTTCCAAATGCTCGCGTAATGTTTGAAACAACAAGAAAAAAACAGACAACACCAGCAATTCAAATGATGTACATGTATGTTTTGGAGTTATGTTTTCGATCTTACTTTTAGTTGATTTATGGAAAACATTATATTCAAATCTGATGCTTGACATGCCAATATCTCCATGCATTCGACAAAAACTACCCTCTAAATTACTCACCTGCCAAAGTAGCCAAGCACCACATAAAGGTTAGGAATATTACTTTGTTCCTTAGAAGCAACAATGCAAAAAAATATCACTAAAATCCTTCTCTCCAATTATAGTCCTCAAATCACAAAACAGATTACGCACCGCCAATGAATATTTCCATCTTTCCTCCTGCCAAACCTTTGAAGTAGCAGATAAAAATTTGATCCAAATACTGAAAAGTATGCACCACAAATATCTTTTTATTGTCACCACTCACAAGACACGATTTAGGGGAGAGAGGGAATTTTGTGTGATGTACAAACCTGTAACAATCATTTGTATTATTACTATCAAGCACAACAGCCCATCTAAAATGTTGTGTTAAGAGGGAATCTTGGGCCCGCCCATCTAGAGTTGGATTCCAACAATAAATTTGCTTTATCTTTTTGGAGGATGAACGTGGAAACTCCAACAAAGCCTACTGCCCAAATCTTATTTTCCAGAGATGAGAGAATTTTGGACAGCAATGAAGTTGCTAACGGGGTTGTTGTATGTAGAGGATTAACAACAAATGCGGTAATATGTAGTAGTGAAATAGCATAAGTCTCTACCATGAGGAAGTTATGATATTCTGCTTCAAGATTTTGCATTTTTTTTCTATTTAAAATGGATTATAATCATGAAGATTTCTTATTGTTTCATCTGTCTATGCTGGTTTCTAAACGCTTTTCTTTTAGGTTGTTGCACGGTTTAATGAAATAATCACCAGGCCACTCTTGGAGGGAGCTTTGGGTACTTTCAAGAATTATTCAGTTCAAGATGAAGACATCGATGTAAGTGATCTGTCTTATAAGTTATTGGAATATAACTTATTACTCTTATATGATACTACATTTATATTGAGCTAGTATTTCGTGGACTTGATGTCTTTACAATGGTTCTACTCTTTGTATCCTTTACTCATTTTTCTGTTCATAATGCATCAAGGCCTCATCGCCTTGCTTATATTAAGTCTTATTGAAGTATGAAGTAAAACAATACTATGCATGGCTTTTCCTTTTCCCCTGCTCTAATAAACATGCATCACTTGACAATTGCTTCTATGAACACTGCATGAAGAGAAAAATGTCTTTCTTTCATTCCGGAAATTATTGAAGTACATCTACATAGATTATAAAGAAAAATACTGATGTAACAAGGAGTACATTGCTACGTGTCATGTGGCAGAAACTAACCATCTAATAAATTAAACTAACTATGGGAATCTCAAACTAACAGAAACTATAACCGATAACACCAACTAGCTGATGTTGTTGCTTCCACTGGCCCCATAACATAAGGCGACTAATAGTTTGAATTTAAATTTAAAATGGATAACATTTACCATCTCCTATATTTATACATTATGCTCTGCATTTTTCATTTGTGTTTACTTTGGTGTGTCATGTCATCATAGAACATTATGGCGGAATTTGATCCGTGTAGCTAATCCCACTTAGTGGGATAATGATTGGTTGTTGTTGTTGTTGCATTGTTATCACTCACAAGATATATGAATAGTGGCAATTTTACGTTGGTCTGAATGCTAGCCTCATTTTCTTTTGCATTGTCTACTGACATAATTTGTTGATTTCTTTTATCCCGTAGGTTGTGTGGGTTCCAGGTTGTTTTGAAATTGGTGCTGTTGCCACAAGACTCGGTAAATCAGGCAAATATCATGCAATCATATGCATAGGAGCTGTGGTATGATAAATCCTGACAAATAGATCAAATGCTTTTGTAGTATTTGTAAAGCTAATGATTACCAATCATCTGTATTTATGTCGACTTAATTTGTGTCTTTTGTGGCCAACATTTGTTGTTAACAGATACGGGGAGATACAACTCACTACGATGCAGTTGCTAATTCAGCAGCATCTGGAGTGCTTTCAGCTGGTCTAAACTCAGGTTTGTATTATGTTTTTGTCAATAGTAATCTCTAGATACCAACAAATCACGCTTGACTTGAGTATTTAGCAGCTGTCTGTTTCCTAGGAAATACAAATAGAATCTAGAGTAGTACCAAGGTCGAGAAAAAGCTTTTGAATTCTAAGGATTATAATTTTGCGAATCGTTGTTTTTTCAAAGTAATACTATATTTTTTCAAAGTAATACTACATACACCCATGTAAGTTAAACTTAAGACCAGTCTTCGCCGAATAAATATCAAACCTTTTATTTCCTCTATTCTAGTTGTGGCATGAGTAAATAACATTTATTTACCAATATCTTCCTTTTTAATAAATTGCCGTAAACAGAAAAAATTACCTAAATTTTGAGATGACTTTGCAGGTGTTCCATGCATATTTGGAGTCCTAACATGTGAGGACATGGATCAGGTAAACCTATGCTATAGCATTTCTTATGAAAGTTGTGGGTTTTCTGAGCATTATCATTAAATCAATACTTTTTTCTTTCTTTTTTGCCTATCTACAGGCTATAAATCGTGCCGGTGGAAAATCTGGGAATAAAGGTGCTGAGGCTGCATTGACTGCTGTAAGTTAACAAATTAATATCACAAAGTTATTATACAATATCCAATTATGAATGTGCAGCGTTCTAAAATTTATATGCTTTGGATGTTGTTTCTTGTCGGAAGATGTCTTATCCTCCCGTTTTTTGTACATGTCACAAACCAATCATTTTCAGTAGCTTGAACTATCAAGTGAAGGGTCATAAAAGACTTCATTACATGTATATATATGCTCTCACTTGAAAGAGCCTTTTGTGTTTAAACATGATGTTGTTGTTTACCCTATCCTGTGCTGAATTTAACTTCATATACAAAAAAATGGAGATGACAAAGATTGAAATCCTAATTACTCTTTGATCATGCCATGAGCCATGAACCAATTACCCCCAAAGTCCAAACCTTAAGCTGCTATAACTGCCATAACCAAAATAGCTACTACTTCATGTTTGTTATAACTTGAATAAATGAGCCTCTAAGTTGCACTCTATGTATCATCATTTTCCTGAGAGTTTCATCAGTTTTTGCTTGGCTAAATAGTTTAACTGAATCAATGTTTTATGTGTTGTTTGCTGTGGTACAGATTGAGATGGCATCTTTGTTCGAGCATCATCTGCAGTAGTCTTCTTATTTTGGAACGGTGCGCAAGTGTCTATTTTCATCTCCAGAATGTTTTATGTTCTTTGTTCAACAATAATCATATCTCAAACTACTTTTTGGTTACAAATAAGCAGAAGATAAGTGCTTTTTCTTCCTATTAATTTATGTGTTTGAATGGGCACTGTTGTGTGGTGTTCACGGATGAGACTTTTTCTTCATGAAACAATAACATTATAGAATATACCAAGAGAGCAGAGTTCATCACCTTATTTATACAAGAATCATCATCTTCATAGTTCAAACGTGAATTTTGGTGTTATGGTTTCAATTGAGTAGATTTGCTGTTGAAATTGAAATTGAATTACAACAAATTGAGTAAGGGAACTCAAAGTTATTAAAAATTTCTTTCAAATAAGTTGTCTTTGAAGTAAAATAGAAGTCATATTTTGAATAAGTTAACTCTTTAAAACAAAATCTCATCTTATTTCCGGTACCAAAAAGCTTAAAGGGGAAATTCACTTATTAATTGCCGAGAAATAAGGATTGCAAATTTGAATACCGGCTTATAAAGTCTATTGTACTCACAAATGTTCTACTCTTTCCATCCTTCTAGGTGTGTCCTATATATCTGGAAAATCGAAAATGCATTTTAAGCGTATGGAGATGCATATTTGAATGCATTCAGTATCACACAAGTTTTTGTTTTTTTTTTAAATCTACTCCATTTTGAACTAAATATAGTTCGGAGATGCATTTTTGTATATTATTTGTGTGTATTCGGAGATGCATCTTCGTATAATATATGAGTGTACTCGGAGATACATCTCCGAAATACTTCATGTATTCATTTATGGTGTTTTTATTCGTTGATCTATTTTGATTAACAACTCAGTGATGTTTTTGGAGATCATATTTGGAAATGTCAAATAGGAAATTGGATAAAACACCTCTTTGAATGATTTTCCTCTTCATGTTGAAAATAGACTATTTCAAAAACAGTTCGAAAATCACAGTTGCTGTCACCTTCACATTTATTTGAATTCTCCGACTC